ATGTTGAGACTTTTTTTTTCTCTTTCCTAATTTGGTAAATAGATATTATCATTTCAGAATCTATCAATATTGATATTAGTATCCAGAGTTAAATGCAAATGACCCAACTCAGCATGTATTTCTCATTACTTTTCTAATCTGTACACTTGAAAAATGGATTTCCATTGTGGTCACATGCTTTCTTTAAGGGATATGAGCAGAGAAGACAAAATATTGAGAAACACGTAGGAAAGAACCTGAAATGAATTGATAGAATTAGTGACAGAAATACAAAGTGAATTGTGAAAAAGGAAAGTAACTTAATCTTATTAAGCCTAGCAGAGCCAGTATAATTAAATAGCTGCATGGTATCATTTAATTATTTTCCTAAACACTACTATCATTATATATGACCAAGAAATAACTTTTCTGTATTTATTTGACAGAGTAGCAAAAAATGAATGAAACGTACATTATCAATTGCAAAAGCGGCATTACAGCGGATTGGAAGTAATTTGAAATTACACCTAATAGAACAAAGCACACTCCAAATTAATGTATAGTGCTGGTCGGAAATAAATGAATTCTTTACTCTTAAGTCTTTTGTTTTAAAGAGAACCTTTAGCAATGAAAGCCAAATAATTGTCCCTAAGACCATGAAATGAATCAAAGTAGCTGTAAATGGCTTTCATGATTACAAGAAAAAAGATTTTCTTCTCTTTGAATCGTTCTCCTTTTATGCGATGCAGGCAGAGTCCTATAGTATGACATAGAGCCTCTTAAGTTGTTTCGAGCTGTAACTTTGACATAACTATTCTCCTTTGTCTGGTTTCATGTTTTACACTGCACTCTTTTCTCTTTACACCCTTTTTCTTAAGCTGCTCTTTGCCTGCCTGCTTCCCACTGTTATAATAAGTGAGTATATGCCATGACTTGTCAACAAGGAACTGCTATCAGCCAATTCATTAATGAGGGTCCTGTCTGAAGTTCTCCTGTGAAACATAATAATTTGTTAGCTTAACTAAAATCTTCTTTCTTCCTGAGGAATGTCATTCTGAGAAAATATTGATTGAGAATGGACCCCTGCTAGGTAATACATGTACAATTTATACATACTTGAGGATATTCAAGGGCACTATCTCGTTTTTGATAGTCAGTAATAACTAATAAACAAAATGATCTCATTTTAAATCAACAGATGTTTTAAATTGACAATGGAGATACAATTCACAAGCATGCTAATAATTATTTCAAAGTTAGTGGATATTAACCCAAATTAAAACAGGCACGAATGTATAAATTTATATTCTGTTTTATTTAACTATTCTAAAACAGTCTTTACCCATGTGATTCCTTACATATGAAATGCTATTCTCCCTGCTTATTCAAATTAAAATAATAATTCAAAACAATCATAAGTTTTGCCATCTCATGTTATAGCTAAAAGTTCTAACAAATACATATTTCTTGCCTTGCTTTCTTGAATACCTTCATTTATGGATAGCAAGTAGAAAATATAACATTTCATCCCAGCTATATTTGATTTTAAAACTGTTGCTTTTGGAGGGATGGCTCAGCATGACTTTAGTATTTCTTACCTTCAGGTGGCACTGTTACGTGACCTTTCAGGACTGCCTCAAACATTCAATCCTTGATACTGTGTTCCTCTTCACATTCTATGTTCTTTACTTCTAACTTTTAGCCCTGCCTATGTTAATCATCTGGCCCCAATCTTTACTTTTCGCCTTTGCTTTTAATTTAGCTTTTGATTATAAATTGTTTTTCATTTTTCAGTTTTTATTTTTTTAATTCTAAGGCTATAACCTGAACAAGTTGAACTCTACTATACATCCTGGGAAAGCTGGACCAGACTTCTCCTCTCCCACATTGTGTGGCAACTATGTTGAGGTGAAAGTCAACTGTATTTTGAGTTAGAAGAGATGAGTTAGAGGGTTGATTTTAAGTCCTAATACATGTACAACCTTGGACAAAGCATAATATTTCTGAGCCTCTTTGTTCTGTAAGCCTATGACCCACCTCAATATCGTATGTGTGGGGTCCCTTTATTAATGCCATTTGTTGAAAATAGCATGGTGACTTTTTATGGTATTCTAGATGTATATCATATCATGTGTAAATCTACTGTCAGAGATGTTGGATTTCCAAGTATAGCTGGTACACAGGAAGGAAGAGGCTGAGTTCATAGGGAACAGTATAAGGACTTCAGTGGAATATAGGGATGGTTCCCAAAGTGAAAATAAGAGTGGATGTTTGACTACTTCACAATACAATGTATAGAACATACAAAAGGGGATAATGAACCTAAGCTAGGCTTCAGCTAGTGTGTGTGCCTTTGATCCGGCACGTATATGTATATCTAGGATAGGCTGAGCTGGTTAGTGGGGCAAGGAGAAACACTACATGCATTGTGGTCACATCGATAACAGCTTTACAATGTGTCAACGTTTAAGAGGTTTGTGATCTCTATGGAGGAACCTAGCTATAAACTGATAGGAGAGTAGAGTGAATCTAAGGAGGTTAGAAAGTATTGGGAAGCCATATATTTCAGCTGGACTCCAAGTATATTTTCAGTTCCCCAGAAGGCCAAAGCAGACGTCTAACTGTATGCATTAGCCCAACATGAGAGGAATGGGCTAATATTTTGGCCATATAAGCACACTGCCTCATGTGTATATCTAGCCCAGAGTTCTGTGTCTGAATCAAATGTTAGCTCCCAGCAAAACTATTAAGTGGTTTCTAAGGAAATTAGTTTTTCCTCTGTGCTCTCTCAACACCATGTTAAAATTTCTAAAATAGAATTTAACATCATAGTATTTCCATTATTCATAATTCCATCTTACCTTCAGATTATGGGTTCTTAAAGGAAGGCATAAAATTGCTTTCTGCTCAAATTCTTCAGTGCTTAGCATGGTGCCTAGAGTAGGTACACAGGAAATGCTTATGGAGTAAATGAATAAATAACAAAGCTTCATTTCAGGTCTCAAAGATGTACCTCTGAATACTGTTTATCTTGAAAATGCATGCCTTTGTCACGTTATTAACCATGAATCTTGGCAGGGATGACTTGAAGTCTATGACACATGTTGGGGTAAGGAGGAGGGAGACATCAGAGATATCTTCTGCACTTGTCTTACCTTCCTTCTGAAACATTTGGACCAAAATTTTTATCCCAAGAAATGTCATAGTGCCATAGACTATAGTGCCTCTGATTCCCTCTAGTACAGGGTTAGGAAAATAGTTTCAAGCATATGTCCTATTCATGAAAGATTCATTTTCCATATGAAGTTGACCTATGATGTGCCATGAATGTGAATACACCATTGTGAGTATCTGTAAAAATGACCAGGGAGAAAACAAAAGGCTCTTAAATTATTTTTCCTAGCATCATATTTTACCACTGAGGACCATAACGAGGAAGAAAGACTGAAGCCTATTACTTCTTCTGAATTTCTTTTGCTCTGGAATCACTTTGGTTTACAGTGATCCCGTCAGTTTTCTAAATAATTAGAAAGCACTTTGCTGAAGAAGTGTTAGTGGCTGCATTAGTTTGGAGGCAATTTGGTTTAATCATGCGGTTGATGATCCTGAACTGCTCAGCAGTTCCAGACTTCACTGCCATAAACACAGGTACAGGGAAGTATTTTTTCCAAACAACTTGTAACAAAGAGTAACTTTTTTCCCCAGACTTTTTATTCTTAAAATCCACAGTTAGGGACTTTGCTCAAGTAGGACTTTTTTGCTTAATCTTCACACCCTCCTATTTCAGAGTGCTGAATTATCAAGTAAGCCAAGAGAAGATTATACTAAAAATGGGACTCTCAGAATTGTGAACTTATTCAGCAGAGATTTTACATGAACCTCAGGGGATTTTATTCAAAACTTAACTTGAATAATTTTCAATAATACTCTCTGGTTTTGGAAAAGTACCTCTCAAAGTTTCCTATTTCTTCTTCTTTAATGTGTATAGAGATACTTAACTTCTATAATATCACAAAAAAAAATGTAGAGGTAAAATGGAAATTCAGAGATCTGAATCCTCAGTGAATGCTCTTAGTTTGAGTTTATAAAAAGATTTATGATAACAGTTATTTTGGAAAAAAGTATGTTCAGGCATAGAACTCCATAAAATTCATTCATTCAGCAAAAAATGTGTTGTGTGCCTACTCTGTACCAGGCTTGCCAGACTTTCCAGACACCCTCCGTAATAATTTGAAGTAGAGCCAGTCAATCCAGCTTTGTGATTTTTCTCAAGCAGAACTCAGAATCCCATTTATAGAAAAAGGCAACTGCAGCATTACCCAAGATAGGATATGCGGGAGAATGAGAAAACAATGCATTCCACAATGGTGAGTGTGTATGATGGAAGTGGCCTTTCCTCATCCTCGATGCTTCTCCTCCAGACATTTATTCGCATGGTGTTTCTTCCCATCATGTCTCCTCGTGGAGGGGCTTTTGCGGGTAACCCAGTCTAAAACAGCACCACCCTTACATTCTCTATTCCCTTATGCACCTTATTTTTTTAAATCACTGTTGAACAGTATATTTAGTTATATTTTTATCTTTCACCAAAAAATGTAAGCAAAGTTTCCTGAGGGCAGGGCCTTGACCAGTTTTGTTCATCTCTGCATTTCCTGTGCTCAGATCAATGACTGGTGGGTAATAGGACCCATTAAACGTTTGGTAAATGAAAGTATTTATTCTAAGTTGAGAAGTAAATAATCCTAGCATACCTTCCTGTAAGACTGGGAAGAGCTGAATTCTGACTACAGGCAATGGTTTAAAAAAAAAAAAAAAACACCAACAGGAAGGGTATAAGCTAGATAAAAAGGCAGATGTACCTTCAGAATGAGAGTTGAGCATCAGAGATCTAGATCTTTGATGTGAGCTAAGGGAGAAATCATGAGGGCTAAGCTCAGGTGGCCTTTAAGTAACAGGTCATTGAATTTCAATAAATCTAGGAGGTGTGAGACAAATAGTCCAGAAAAGAAATTAAGATGTACCTTTTAAGTCCCTGAGAATTCTTGCAGAGGGGCACCAATCTCCCAATGGTGAAATAGGCAAAACTACTCCAAACGTAGGCCTGGAAGAGGAGATCCAGCATTAGACGAGAACCTTTCTATGATTAATGTTCAGTTTTTCAGAAGCGAAATCTGATTGTCAGAGGGCTAAATGCCCAGAGTTACATAATGAATAATCAGCATAGGCAGAGTTAAAACGTGGTTCTGTATGGCTTCAAGTCCCACATTCATTGTACAAGATTGTGCCTCTCCCCACCTTTGCCCTCTGGGTGCCACATCTTCAACTCTTCCTCATTTTCTTACTTTCTCTTTTGGACATACTCTCATTGTCCTAAACATTTTTTTTTTTTAAAAAGCTACTCTGAGCCGTGTTTTTTTCTCCTTTCCCTTAGTTTGAAGGGAATAGTTAACAAAGCTAAAAGGAATATAAGGTAAACTACTTTTCAGAATCATCAGGGTATTTAGCTAGTATTTTCTGTGCATAAAGGAGAAGAAAGCATCTGAGAGCAAATCACAACAATAAAGGTAAAATGTTGTCAACATTTGTTTGGAAAAATAAATGCATTATAGCTTAAATTTCTAGAATTTAGCCAAGGTAAATTACATTTCCATTAACTTAGAATACCCTGGTTCCTAATGATTGAGCTACTGTTTACAAAATGTCCCATGCAACATATATAGGAGTTATGGGAATAATAGTTGTTAAAAAAAATCCCTGGGAAATTTAAATTTTTTTAATGATTTAGGAATAACATGGAATTTTAGCTGAGTTTGTAGAAACATTATTATATATATATTTTTAATTTTAGGGAGGGGTAGAGCTGGCTATTTGACAAAATGAGAGGATTTCATGAAACATAGAACCCATTTGTTAGAAAGGCAAAATGAAGTCGTGTATTTTATTATTCTGATGATCATGTGTTTGAAGTATCAGCTAACATCTGGCATTTATCAAAGATTAGTATAATCTGGTTTTTGCATAGATGTGATCATAAATGTCTGTTTGCGAGATTGATAGTTAAGATCGTGTATGATGGGGATGTAGTCATAAGTTTTAAGTTACCTTTATAATACCCATTGGTTTCATTTTTTTATTTTTATAAAATAAACTTTTCATTTCCATTGTTCATTTCTGGGCTTAGTGCTGTAATAACACAATGATAGACTTCAATTACAACCTTTCAAAGTATTAAGTTGGCTTTTCACAGTAAACTGAAGTAGGGGTATGAACAACTAACTGAGAAAAATTCATCTACACATTCCAAATCATGTATTGATCCAAGCATATTTATTTGGTACTCCTAGAATCTGAGGATGCACACATGAAAAGAGGGAGAAAAGTCTCTGTCCTCATGGAATTTATATCTAGGGAGGGAGGGCAGACAATACACACAGACACACACACACACACACACACACACACACACAGACACACACACGCACACATACACACACACACATACACATACATACACACATACACACATATACACATATATATACACATACACACACACAGAGTAATTCAAAAGAGCTGTAAAATGGGCTGAATGACGAGAAAGTGCCAGGGTAGTAGGGAGCCAGAGGAATGCTAATTTAGATAGTTTAGTCAAAGTTGTCTCTCTGAATAAACCACTTTTAAGCATGATTCATTTTGAAAGCTGACAAGAAGTAAGAGGACAGAAATATGTTATTGGGCTTATTAAGAATAACTTATTAGACACCAAGCAGTTTTAAAAATTATTCTCATGAGCTATTTCAAGCAATATTTACTGTAACACAGCAATATAAGAATTAGTGTACTCATATGAGCTGAGGAATATGATATACAGAAAGACTGACTAATTTTTCTGAGATCATGCAATTTCTAATTGAGTCAAGTTTAAAACTCAGATCTGCTTAAATTTAGAAACCATGTTCTTTCCATTATACTGAGGTGTCTCATAGATCAAATAAATTCATCCTTTAATGAGGATTTTTTTTCTCTCAAAGGTAGTTTTGTGGAGAATGAAATTTTCTGGACAATTGTTCCCAGTCTCTTTAGAGAAGCTGTATTAGAATTCTACCTCTCAGTATCTATGAAATTTCCTCCTGTGCATTAGAAATTGCTGGACACCGTAGAAAGAGATAACATGGAGTTGCTACACTCAGGCACTTTCATATTGAGGAAGGGGGAAAGACAGACAGAGGGACAATTTCAAGGTACTAGGATACAGGCTAACATGGGATACTGTGAGAAGAGATGAGAACTGCATCTTAAAGGTGGAAAAGAGGAAAGGAGGGGAGTGTATAACTAGTAGAAGTAACAATTATCTGGGTCTTGAGACAGCCAGAAATACAAAGTTCGGGGAAGTAAGGGACTGGGAGCTCTTTTAGTTTCTGATGGCTGCTGTAACAAATTTACCATGAACTGGGTAGCTTAAAACAGCATAAACCTATTTATTCCCAGTTCTGGGAGCTAGAAATCCAAAATCAGTATGACTGTGCTAAAATCGAGATGGTGGCAGGGCTGCACAGCCTCTTGGGCAGTTCTGGAAAACCTTTTTTTGCTTCTTCTGGCCTTATATGGCTGCAGGATTCCGTGACGTACAGCTGCATCACTTCAGTCCCTACCTCTCTCTTCACATGGCCTTCTCTGAGTGTGTGAAATTTCCCTCTTCCTCCCTCTTGTAAGGGTGCGCGCAGCTGCGTTTAGGGCCCACTGGGATAAACGGGAATAGTTTCATCTCAAAACCTTTAACTTAGAGCTGCAAATACTTCCTTCTTCCTTTCCTTTCCTTCCTTCCTTCCTTCCTCCCTTCCTTCCTTCCTTCCTTCCTTCCTTCCTTCCTTCCTCCCTCCCTCCCTCCCTCCCTCCCTCCCTCCCTCTATCCTTTCCTCCCTCCCTTCCCTCCTTCCTTTCCTTCATTCGTCCCTCCCTTCCTCCCTTCCTATCTCCCTTCCTCCTTCTTTGTCTTCCTCTCTCCTACCTTCTCTCTCTCTTTCTTTCTTTTTCATCTCTCTCTCTCTCTCTCTCTCTCTCTCTGTGTCTCTCCTGTATTAAGTAACATGTACAGATACTAGAGATTAGGGTGTGGTTATCATTGGAGGAGGGTCATTTTCAGCTTACGTTAAGGGTTAAAGAAAAATAGCATGCAGAGGGAAAAAGTAGATGTCTGGAGGCTGTTAGGGCACTAAGCATTGGGGAGGTTCTGATTGAGAAGCTGAGGAAGGCTAAGGGAAGTCATTGAATAGTATTTTTGCTTTGTACTAATTTTCTAGAAACATCACTCACAATTCATTCATTCCATTATTATGTATTTGGTTAAACTCTGTGCAAGAAACTAGAAGAACTTAATGGTGGGACGATATCTATTTATTATCCCTGCTTTTATAGAGCTTGTGATATCATGGTGGAAATGGGCCTTTAAACACACACATGCACAGATAGATTATATGATTACACACTGTGATAATTCCTATGAAGAGTAACACAAGATGTCATTAGGATTGATAAAAGTCCAGAGAAAGCCAGCACCTTTTTTTAGGATAAAAAAAGTTCTAACCATGTTGCCTACTGATATATATCTTACATAAAATATTCTAGATAGTCCATTCTTTCTGTAACACCTCTTCACTTGCCCCTCATTTTACTTTTGTTTATTGCTTTTCCCCACTGGGGCCAAAAATTACTCTTCATGTTATATTGCTTGAGATTTATTTACATGGTGTCCTTAAGGATGTGACATTTAAACTGCAGTCTAATGGTTGTGTCACAGTTAACTAGGTAAAAGATAGAAGGAAGCAGAGAAGAACATTCTGGACAGACATGAAAACTCTATGATGAAAAGATTTGCATTGAAGGTATAGAATGAAGACCAGTGCAATTCTGTGAAGAGAAAGTTCTATGCAGAGAGACTGGTACAAGATGCACCAGGAGAAGCCAGATGATAAAAGCCCTGCTAGGCCACACTCAGATGTTCTTTGTTGTATAAGCATTGGAAATTAAGAGAAGTATTTTTTTTTCCCATTTATTTATTTGATTGCATTTTAGGTTTTGGGGTACATGTGAAGAACATGCAAGATTGTTGCATAGGTACACACGTGGCAGTGTGATTTGCTGCCTTCCCCCCATCACCTGCATCTGGCATCTCTCCCCTTGCTGTCTCTCCCCAGCTCCCCACCCCCCACCGTCCCTCCCCTATTTCCCCCCAACTGACCCCAGTGTGTAGTGCTCCCCTCCCTGTGTCCATTGTTCTCATTGTTCAACACCTGCCTGTGAGTGAGAACATGTGGTGTTTGATCTTCTGCTCTTCTGTCAGTTTGCTGAGAATGATGGTTTCCAGTTTCATCCATGTCCCTACAAAGGACACAAATTTGGGGTTTTTATTTATTTATTTTTTTCTGCTTTCTAAATTTTGCCTACAGAAAATTTGTTCTATTTGGTGTACTGTTTGATGAATGCATGCAGTCATGCTAACAATACCCAGAATCAAGGTACTGATCAGTCCTAACACCTTCCTAGCATTTCCTTATGTTACCCCTTTGTGGTTAACTCTTCCTCCTTTCCACGGCCCCTGACAAACACTGATTAAACAAGGGTTCATGCAGTCATGGAAAAAAGACTAGGTGAAAAGACAAGACTGAAATTCAAATGAGAAAAATGATGACCTAACACTGTGGTAGCAGAAAAAGTAAAGAGGGTATAATAAATTTAGGAGATATTTAGAATCCAGAATCAAGAAAGCCTGATAACAGTAAATATTGTAATTTGGAAGAGAAGGAAGAGTGCAGGAAATTTACGGGTCACTGGCTTGGAAAACTAGGTAAATGTTGTTAGGTGGAGGCAGAGTTCAGCCTGTGGTGTGAATGAGACATCTAGGACAGGGTGCTTGGGGGATTTTGCATCTCACACCCGTTAAAGCAGTTTCAACTAAAGATTTACATTTGACAGACGCTCAATTTTGAAAGGAACCTGAACCCTTTTCTTTCTTCACTACCTAATGAACATTTTGTAAAATTAAAAATAATAATATAAAAAAGTATATAAATGGCATACAAACTGTGTGCTAAGCCTTGTTCTGTATTTCTAAACATACGTATATTTAATTCTAAAAA